CCCCCCCTTTCCTCTCCCCCCCCCCTCCCTCTCCTCCCCTCATCCCCAAAGGGACCAATTAATTCCATTGTGCCTTACGATTATGATGATGACTAAGGTCTTCCTTGCGGACGCTCTGCGTTTCGTGTGTTTGGGATGAACCCGAGTGTGTCCTTTTGGGGGACTTAAAAAGAACTGTCTTTATTCAAGTTTATTCGCATGAAATTTGTAGGCCATGTCATTCAATAATGCATTCTGAGTAGATAGGATGTATCTAGCACTACCTTCTTCACCCGCATACAACGCACGGTAATTTAGCTGTATTTGGGGCATCTTTCAGCCTAAATACAGCTGTAATGACCGTGTGTTGTATTCGGGGGAAGAAGGTAGACAAATGGAGGTATGACAGCGAGTTTAGACAGACGATCACTGACACTGAAATGCAAGATGGTGCATTGGAGACTGCCATGGACAACACAGACATCTATGCAACGAACCTGGAAGCCTGTGGAAGGTTGGGAGGGAGGGAGGGAGGGAGGGAGGGATGGAGGGATGGAAGGAGGGAGGGAGGTAGAAGTTCTGTCTCTTTCTCCTCCTCTTCCTCCTCCTCCTCCTCCTCCTCCTCCTCCTCATCGTCGTCATCATCATCATCATCATCCTCATCATCGTCATCATCCCCTTTTGCAGTTGCTTGCCACAACTGATCCATAACTTCTGCCCTTCTTTCTCTCTTCTTTCTTTTTTTTAATTAAAAAAACGAACTTATAACCTATAGGTCCTATACTCTTCTCTCAATTTATCTCCCACTACCTACCTAACTAGCCTGGAATGATACACTCTTCATCTATGGACCACAAGGTCCACAACCACCAATATGTCATTCTCTCAGCATGGAGCGTTAAGGGTTATGGGACTAGATTCCAGCCTCTACTCTATGCGGGGAGCAGTACCCCGGCTCCTAACACCTGGCACGAGCTGGAAACCGAAACGCTTACTTCCACAACCAGCCAGGAGCCCAAGCCAGTTAGAGTAGAGTTGGTTGAGCACGCGAGTGAGTGGTATTCAGGAGGTCGTGGGTTCGATTCCCCACGTCGTCCATTCTACCCTCCCGACCTTCTTTCTCTTCTTTCCTTTTCAAACTTTCTTCCTTTTGCATCTGCACTTACTAGTCATCGAAGAGACTACAGCTGCTGCTGCTGCTGCTCCTGCTGCTGCTCCTGCTCCTGCTACTGTTCGGTGATCTGCTCTCATGCGAGGTTATTGATGTCGATCCAGCGGCTGTTGGTGCTCCTGCTGTGGTGGTGGTCCTGCTGCTAGTGCTCGTGCCGTGCTGCCACTGCCTCCGCAGGTGGCCGTGTTTTAGTTGTGCTTGTGCTTGTGCTTGTGCTTGTGCTTGTACAGGCGCCTGCTGCGACCTGCTGCTATAGCGGAGGCCGCCACTTGGCAACCGACACCTTGCCTACGGCTCCCATGCTTCCCTAAGCCGTTCCCCGCTGCTGCATTATGCTGCTGTTCATCATTTGTGGCCAACAACGTAGGCAGCGGGTAGCGGTGGGTAGCGGTGGGAAGCTGACGAAATTCTCCAGGGTAGCGCGATACATAGGAA